TGAACCTCCTCCTGCTCAAGCTCATCATCTACCTGATTTCCCACTTGAACATGACTAGAACCTGGTTGGTCTTTAGGTTCTATCTCAATAACCTGGGACTTTGAAGTCCCAACAGTCCCAACACCATCATCCTTGGGCGCCCTAGCAATCATGGATTTTTCATCAAAGGTAACATCCCTGCTGATCACGAACTTTGAATCTTCTGTACACCAAAGACGGTAGCCCTTTACGCCCTTTGCATACCCCAAGAATATCGCCTTCTTGGCCCTCGCGTCAAGCTTTCCCTCGTTGACATGATAGCACACGGTACACCCGAAGATTCAAAGCCTCTCATAATCTGCATGCACCCCTGACCACACCCGATAGGGTGTACCACCATCCAATGTTGAATGTGGAGAACAATTCACTATGTAACAAGCTGTAGCAACCGCTTCTGCCCACCATTCCTTACCCAAACCAGCATATGATCGCATACTCACTGCTTTCTCCTACAGTGTTCGGTTCAGTCTTTCCGCGACCCCGTTTTGATGTGGTGTAGATCTCACTGTCCAGTGTCTGGCAATCCCCTCCTGATCACAGAACTCCTTGAAGGCACCATCTGTGTTCAGTCTCTCCGCGACCCCGTTCTGCTGTGGTGTTGACCTGACTGTCCAGTGTCGAACAATGCCCTCCTGATCACAGAACTCCTTGAAAGCACCGTCTGTATACTCTGTACCGTTGTCAGATCTTAGTGTCTTCAATTTCTTGCCCGTCCTGTTCTCAACCATTGCTTTCCACTTCTTGAATGTCTCGAATACCTCATTCTTATGCTTAAGAAAATAAATCCAAGCATATCTCGAATGATCATCTATGAACGAGACAAAATACCTGGAACCACCCTTGGAAGTTGTCTGAGCCGGACCCCAAACATCCGTGTGCACATAATCTAGTATACCTCTGCTCTTGTGATTGCTTTTCAAGAATTGGACCCTGTGCGCCTTTCCGTACACACAATCCTCGCAAAAATCCATGCAAGGTTTCTTCAGATTCTTCAGCAAACCCTCCTTACCAAGCAGAACCAGACCCTTCTCTGACATGTGCCCAAGCCGCCTATGCCATAACCGGGTGTGCTCACATGGGTCTCCACCACTTCCATCAGTTCCAACCGCTGCATCTCCTGTCACCGTCGTACCCGAGAGAGTATATAGATTACCGTGACGAACACCCTTCATCACTGTTAGGGAACCTCGAACAACCTTCTTTACTCCGTTCTCTGTAACAATCTTGCAGCCACCGGAGTCTAATGCACCCACTGAGATAAGATTCTTCCGCAAGTCGGGAACGTGCCGCACGTCCGTTAGGGTTCTGACCACTCCATCATGCATCTTGATTTTTATATCACCGAGCCCCACCGTTTTACAAGCATGGTTATTCCCCAGCAATACAGTTCCACCATCAATGCTCCTATAGGTAGTAAACCACTTCCTATTTGGGCACATGTGGTAAGAGCAACCTGAATCAAGTATCCACTTACCGGAGGTATCTTCGCCACCCGTAACAACATAGCATTCTTTATCGCTCCCTTCCTCCGATGCGTAACTCGCCTCTTCCTTGCCTTCTCTTCTCTCGGTCTTGTTGTTGTTCTTTTTCCCACCTACTCTCTTGTTAGGACAGTCGACCTTGAAATGCCCAACTTCACCGCATTTGAAGCACGCTCGTCCCGCAAGGGGTCTCGATTTAGATCTAGACTTTCCTCCCTTGCCTTTTCCTCGCTCATTGCTCCTTCCTCTAGCAAACAATCCCTGCGCTTGTTCTTTGTTACCACCAGTAGTCATGTCACCGGTTGCAATCTTTCGAAGGTCATCCCCTAGAAGCGCCGTTCTAGTCTCATCCATCGTCAAATTGTCTCCCACAAGCATCAATGTTTGCACCAGGTTCTCATAAGACTTCGGCAGAGATAGAAGTAATAGAAGAGCCTGATCCTCATCTTCTACAGTCACATCGATGTCCTTCAGATCCGATATAATCCTATCGAACTTGTTGATATATTCCCGGATTGATGAGCCCTCCTCCATCTTGCAAGTATACAATTTGGATTTCAAATAGATCCGGTTTGTTAGACTCTTCGTCATGAAGGTGCTTTCTAACTTCAACCACACGCCCGCAGCCGTTTCCTCTCCATCTACCAAGAAAGCTACATCCCTTTCAAGGCAAAGGATAATCGACGCCCGTGCTTCCAGATCCAGCTCCTCCCAATCCTCATCAGACATATCCTTGTGCTTCTTCTCTTTTCCCGCCAAAGCTTTGTGCAATTTCTGCGAAATCAACGTGTTCTTCATCTGCATCCTCCAATAGGAAAAATCATTCTTCCCATTGAATTTTTCAATCTCGTATTTTCCAACTTTAACTGTTTTACTTGTTGACGCCATTCTCCGCTTGTCTCAGGAAATTACCGAGCACCACCTCAAATCAGAAGCTACACCACTCCCAATCTGAATAACAGCTCTGATACCAATTGTTGGGCGCAGAGTCACGCCCACCGCCGCGGAAGCGATATGTCCTGAGAGAGAGCCCTGGCTTTTGTTGTCACAAAAGCACAAGTCAACCTCGATATCTGTGTTTCGCGAAGGAAACCCAGACTCAGTAGCGAAATATCTCAGCGAAGTGAGATATCCACTCTTCCTCTCATCAGCGCAAGACCGAATTTTGAGGGATCCTACAAGCAATAGCCAACAACCTAGAAAACAGTAAATACACGAGATTTACGTGGTTCGGCAAACTTGCCTACGTCCACGGGAGGGGGTGAGGGGAGATTCCACTATAAGGAGAACACCGACGACTTGTACAATCCACAAGCCCGTCTCAAAGAAAAAATAGATCTGATTTTTACCCAAAAGAAATAAACCTCTCTTTTGTAGAATCTCTCTTTTTCTCTCCTCAACAACTGCTGCAATTTCCTCTGCCTAAACCTCTTTTTCACCTCTCTGCTCTTTCCCCTGCCGAGTAAACCGACTGCTTTTCCCGCAGCTTTTTCTTCCTTAAGCCGCTGTTCCCGCACTCGTTTATCCCCTGCGTTTTGTTTCCCACACATCAAACCCTAGGCGATATAGGCTATTTATAGGAGAGTAGATGCGGTTTAAAAGTTCATGAAACATGGGCCGAACTCCTCATTATCTCTTCACATGGGACACGCGCATGTGGGGACTCCTCATTGGGCCGCTGTTCACATAAGGCTAAATTACACTAAAACCCCAAGAACTTTCACCGCTTTGCACAAAACCCTAAACAAATTTCGAAATTGCACACAACCCCAATAAGTTTTGGCATTTTGCAGAGAGCCCCTATAAATTAGAACCGAGAAACAACATATAAAGGAATTTTTGGAAGTTATTGGGGGTCTAGTGCAAAAGGCTGAAAGATCCAGGTATAATTAGGTGTTCAACCATGTCCGTTCCATTTGTTCATTTCGCTCTTTACACAACCAATCGAGTATTCAATATGGAGCAAGCTCCGGAGGACGATCAACTCTCAGACCTCCCAACAATAACGAACTGCTCAGCCTTCCCAGTTGTCCTCTACAAAGGCCACTACCTCTTCAAGGACTCCCTCCTCCGTGTCCTCTCGGCCCGTCACCACTTCCAGGCCCGGCCCACCGACATCCTCCTCGCCTCCCTCCCCAAATCCGGCACGACGTGGCTGAAAGCCCTGGCATTCTCCTCTCTCTACCGGACCTCCCTCCCCGACGTCTCCGACCTTCGCCACCCCCTTCGGGTCTCCAACCCCCACCATATCGTCCCCTTCATCGAGACCGGATCAAAATTAGGTGCGCTCGGTTGGTCAGTCACCAGTAGTAGTTGGAACAACAAATGCATTTACAGTATTATATATAGTTTGGATTGTTTGCACTTTAATATCCTGAGCTAGGTTACACTCCTTTTTTTTTTTTAACTTCAATAGTACCTTGAAGTTTGTCACATGACAATTTATATCGCAAAGTTATAAAGCAGACTTAATGTTGTTCAGAATATCAACATATTTAAACCTCAATGAGAAAAACATTAATTCCTATCATATTTTAATTTTTTGAAGTCTGAAGAAATTACCGAACAAATTAAGTTAGGTTTCGAACGTCAAATTCTCAAAGTAACGTCAAGCTGAAAATTTTTGGGCGCATTAATAATTGTCAAATGCAGAACTTCAGGGTATATCAAAGTTAGAAAAATGGTAAAACTTTGGGAAATTAAATTAAAGTGCAAAAAAGCCAACATAATGTGGATTCATGATTTAGAATTATTTTGAACAGAGCTACCCATATCTTCTTTTTAGCCTATTTTGGTGTTGCACTGTTGCGACAGTTTAACAGCTGGCGTCTAAAATTTTTTTATATTTGAATGAAATATGGATATAGTTGAAACAACATGAGACTCCAAATATTTCTTCGAATGAACAGATTTTTCCTCGATGCCGTCCCCAAGGCTCCTGTCTACGCACCTCCCCTTCGATTTACTGCCGACCTCCATTGCGGACTCGGGTTCAAAAATCATCTACGTATGCCGAAACCCGAAAGACAACTTCGTTTCCTCATGGCATTTCTGGAACAGAATCAGAGAGAAGGCAGGGGAGGAGCCGATCCCACTTGAGGCGAGCTTCGATCAGTTCTGCGATGGGGTTAGTGTTATGGGGCCGTATTGGAACCATGTGGTCGGATACTGGAACGCTAGCAGAGCAAATGACGCCAAGGTGTTATTCGTGAAGTATGAGGATATGATTGCGGATCCGATAGGTGAGTTGAAACGGGTTGCGGGTTTTATGGGGTGTCCGTTTACGGAGGAGGAGGAGGAGAGGGGTGGGGTGGCGGAGGGCATAGTAAAGCTTTGTGGGTTCGAGAGCTTGAGCAATTTGGAGGTGAACAGAGAGGGGGTGCTTGAGACTATGTTGGCGGATTTGGAAAATAAGTTTTATTTCAGGCGGGGAGGTGTTGGGGGTTGGAGGAGTCTTCTTTCGCCGGAGATGGGTCGACGGCTGGACGAGATCACGGCGAGCAAGTTTGCGGGTACGGGGCTTTCGGTTTAAAATAGTTCGCCGGTATGCGAGTGAAAGTGTTCCGATAAATTTTGTATTCTCTTGTTTCCTGCTGTGCTTCTTTTTGACGTCAATACTCGTTGGACTAAGGACAATAGTTAAGTGTTTGGTTGTATCGAGTTTAATGATGTCGTTTCAATTTTGCGTGCAAATTTTATTATTTTGAGGGGGTGCGAAAGTGAAAAGTAAAAGTGAAAACTAATTCACCTACAAGGGTGGGTGTTTGTTTTATTGAAGTGTGTAAGAAAAAAATATTTAAAATAAGTGTAGTATTAAATCTAATGACAATTTAAGTTTCCCTTAAAAACTATTGAAGTCTGTTGGTTTTGACCGCAACAAAACTAACCCACTATCTCGCGAAATCAAGAGAGGGATGTAATAGATAGAAAATATTTGGGATTGTAGAGAAAATAACTCAACTGTAGATTTCATGGATATTGAGGGCGGATCTGAAGGGTGAACGGTTGCAGAGTGAGTCCTTTAAATTGATGGCTAACCATGAAAATTTTCACTGCAAAACGGGAATCCTAAAAAACATCTCTCCCATCTTGTTCTCCCTATTCAAATTTCTTCATAGGTATCAAAGCTTTGACGGTCTCAACGGGCGGCATGCTTTAAAAACTTGTCGTCATCGTTTTTCCTCTGTCCTCAAATCTCTCGACTGTTCCCTCTCTCTGTTTGGTGCAAGTTGAGCAGGTATAAGAGGTAATATAGATAAGGTTGTCTAATCTCTACATAAGTTCTTGCAATAGCGCTTTTGCCTATTTAGAATGATTTTTTTTGTGAACCTGAGATAGCGTAGAGTAGTGTGTTGTCAAATCAGTTTTGTTATTTTATTTATGTGACAGATACTGTTGGATTTCATTTTATAGTATTTTAAATGTTTTTTGTTTGTTCGGCTACATATTCATCTTTAAGAGAAGGTTTATTTTTAAGAGAAGGTTTCATATTTTATTGTTTTTAGGTATTGATTGCATCTTTTTATTTTTTATAATATTTTTTAGCTATTTAGGGTACTTCTTGCAGTATGACATGACATTATATGTCGTGTTGTCACATGATTTAATTCTATTGTAATATCTATCTGTGATCCTATTGTTCTTACCTGTTACTAAATCTCTTTTAATATTATATATTAATAGTACTGCTTCTTGCTTGCTAGCTGGCTTTTTTTTTGAATCCCATAGATTATTGTTATAGTGAATCTGTACATGATACATCTAAGCATGTTTTAAGGTCTTTGATCATAGTGATATGGTTGTGATCCTTTTCTTTCAAGACCTATTAGACATCTTATAGTAGTTTTCTAGTTATTGTTGTATTCTTATTTCTTTTATCTTTTTTTTGACCTTGTTCTATCTACATCTAAGCATTTTTTGTGACCTATTAGACATCTTATAGTAGTTTTCTAGTACATGTTACATCTAAGCTTTTTTTCTGATCTTATTTTAAGGTCTTTGGTCATAGTGATATGGTTGGAGGAGTCTCCTTTCGCCGAAGATGGGTCGACAGTTGGATGAGATCACGACGAGCAAGTTTGCGGGTATGAGGCTTTCAGATTAAAATAGTTCGCTAGTATGTGAGTGGAAGTGTTCCGATAAATTTCGTGTTCTCTTGTTTCCTGATGTGTTCCTTCTTGACGTTAATACTCGTTGGATATATAAATAAGTGTTTAGGAAAAAAATATTTAAAATAAGTGTAGTATTAAATCTTATAACAATTTAAGTTTCCCTTAAAAACTGTTGAAGTTTGCTGGTTTTGGCCACAACAAAACTAACCCACTATCTCAAAAAATCAAGAGAGGGATGTAATAGATAGAAAATATTTGGGATTGTAAAGAAAATAACTCAACTATAGATTTTATAGATATTGAGGGCGGATTTGAAGGGTGAACGGTTGAAGAGTGAGTCATTTAAATTGATGGCTAACCATGAAAATTTTCATTGCAAAACGGGAACCCTAAAAAACATCTCGCCCATCTTGCTCTCCCTATTCAAATTTCTTCATAGGTACCAGAGCTTTGACGGCCTCAACGGGCGGCATGCTTTAAAAACTTGTCATCATCGTTTTTCCTCTGTCCTCAAATCTATCGACTGTTCCCTCTCTCTATTTGGTGCAAGTTGAGCAGGTATAAAAGGTAATATAGATAAGGTTGTCTAATCTCTACATAAGTTCTTGCAATAACACTTTTGCCTATTTAGAATGATTTTTTTTGTGAACCTGAGATAGCCTAGAGCAGTGTGTTGTCAAATCAATTTTGTTATTTTATTTATGTGATAGATACCGTTGGATTTCATTTTATAGTATCTTAAATGTTATTTGTTTGTTCGGCTACATATTCATCTTTAAGAGAAGGTTTATTTTTAAGAGAAGGTTTCATATTTAATTGTTTTTAGGTTCTGATTGCATCTTTTTATTTTTTATAGCTATTTAGGGTACTTCTTGCAGTATGACATGATATTATATGTCATGTTGTCACATGTTTTAATTCTATTGTAATATTTATCTATGATCCTATTGTTCTTAGCTGTTACTAAATCTCTTTTAATATTATATATTAATAGTACTGCTTCTTGCTTGCTAGCTGGCTTCCTTTTTTCTTTTTTGAATCCCATAGCTTATTGTTATAGTACATGATACATCTAAGCTTGTTTTAAGGTCTTTTATCATAGTGATATGGTTGTGATCCTTTTCTTTCAAGACCTATTAGACATCTTATAGTAGTTTTCTAGTACATGATACATCTAAGCTTTTTTTCTGACCTTGTTTTAAGGTCTTTGATCATAGAGATATGGTTGAAGGAGTCTTCTTTCGCCGGAGATGGGTCGACTGTTGGATGAGATCACAGTGGGCAAGTTTGCTGGTACGGGGCTTTCGGTTTAAAATAGTTCGCCGGTTTGTGAGTGGAAGTTTTCCAATAAATTTCGTGTGCTCTTGTTTCCTGCTGTGTTCCTTCTTGACGTCAATACTCGTTGGATATATAAAATAAGTGTGTAGGAAAAAAATATTTAAAATAAGTGTAGTATTAAATCTAATGACAATTTAAGTTTCCCTTAAAAACTGTTCAAGTCTGCTAGTTTTGGCCAAAAAAAAACTAATCCACTATCTCACGAAATGAAGAGAGGGATGTAATAGATAGAAAATATTTGGGATTGTAGAGAAAATATCTCAACAGTAGATTTCTTGGATATTGAGGGCGGATATGAAGGGTGAACGGTTGCAGAGTGAGTCCTTTAAATTAATGGTTAACCATGAAAATTTTCACTGCAAAACTGAAACCCTAATAAATATCTCTCCCATCTTGTTCTCCCTATTCAAATTTCTTCATAGGTATAGAGCTTTGACGGCCTCAACGGGCGGCATGCTTTAAAAACTTGTCTTCATCATTTTTCCTCTGTCCTCAAATCTCTCGACTGTTCCCTCTCTCTGTTTGGTGCAAGTTGAGCAGGTATAAGAGGTAATATAGATAAGGTTGTTTATTCTCTACATAAGTTCTTGTAATAGCGCTTTTGCCTATTAAGAATGATTTTTTTTTGTGAACCTGAGACAGCTGTATGAAGGAAAAATTGCAAAGAAGAGAATAAAGAAAATATGATTTTGATTCCTTTGATCTCGGTTACAACTTGATTACAAAAGAGAGGAAAACGAATTTGGTTTTCCCCTTTGTTTAAAACTGGGTTCTTCTTGGCAGCGATGGAGTGCTTCCTTCGATTGATTGCGTCGAACTTGCTCTCCGTTGACGATCCGACCGTCTTTATCTCGTGGGAACGATGAACTTTCGTGGAAAGTTTTATGAATAACTCTGAATGAGTTTAAGAACTCTGAACGAGTTTGAACTCTGTGAATAGAGTTGTTGGAACCGAAAATTCGATTAAGGATCAAGCTGTTTTTCTGTTGTCGAAGAATCCTCTCCGATTTGATTTTCTAAGGTTGATTCAAAAATCCTATCTCCAAGGATTTCGTTGCTGTCGTTGCCGAATCTCCAAACCCGAGTGGACAATTTACACTAATATTATTTGTTTAACGTGTTTGATATTAATCTTATTTAAAACATAAGAAGACAAACAATTGTTGAGTTGGATGGATTGACGTCATATAACGATCATGATCAATAAGGTTGGTAGAATATCCGGATGAAGCCATACATCAAACCATATTCAAGTTCAAATTTCATCTGTAAGTTTAGCCAAGAAGAGTCAATGAAGATCTATCAAGCTCCAATTGCCAAGTTTATCAAAAGCCCAAAAGGGCTAAGAAATCGAAGAAGATGATGCGGCGGCGTCAATCCAAACATAAGTCGAAGGTTCCCAAAACCGTTTAATCACCGTTCTGTAGGGATTTTCGCCCACGTGGACGAATATAGGGATCATTACAACCCCTTATTCCCCCTATAAAAAAATCAACGAAAACTCAACTGAGTTAGGGGTTGGATTTTTGGCAATCTGAACCACTACAGGTTGGATTCAAAGATCTAAACCATACAGGTTGGAAGATTTTCAGTTCTCAAACCAAAAAAAAAAACTCCGACAGAGTTAAAGGATCGGTTTTTGATAATCAGATCAGAGGTTGGATTCTTTAATCATAAAAA